TTATAAGTACTGTTCTCTTTTCTCGCGACTTGTAAGTACCTGTCTTGACTGCTTATAAGTACTGTTCTCGTCGACTTGTAAGTACTGTTCTCGACGGTTTATAAGTTCTCGTCGACTTGTAAGTACCTGTCTTGACTGCTTATTAGTACTGTTCTCGACTTGTAATACTACTTGTCTGTCTTGACTGCTTATAAGTACTGTTCTCGTACTACTGCCTCGTTTCCATTCTCTCTCCCTTTTTTCTTTACTCTCTTTCATTTCTCCCTTCTCCCTTTCTTTCTCTCTCTTCTTTTTTTTCTTTCTCCCTCCTCTCTCCTCCTTTTTCTCCCCCATTTTCTTCTTTTTTTTTTTTTTTTTTTTCCCATCTCTCTCACTTCTCCTCCTCTTCTCCCTCCTCCCTTTTCTCTTTCCCTCTTCAATCTTTTCTTTTCTTCCTCCTCTCTCACCATTCTTCTCTCTTCTCTCTCTCTCTCTCTCTCTTCTCTCTCTCTCTCTCTCTCTCTCTCTCTCTCTCTCTCTCTCTCTCTCTCTCTCTCTCTCTCTCTCTCTCTCTCTCTCTTCCAAACTTTCCTTTATTGTTCTCTTCCTCCTACTCCGCTTTCTTCTCCCTTTCTCCTTTCTCATTCTACTACTTTTTTATGATCAGCATTGGCATTAGGGCCAGAATTATAACTGTAATTGTTATAATTATTAACATTTTCAAGACAATGTTCATTTTACAGTATCACTATTTCAACTAATGATGCCATATAACTATTTGTCTACATCGTCATCATAATTTTATCCTTTCTTTTTTTTTCTTCTCTCTCTCTCTCTGTCTGTCTGTCTTTTACTTTCTCTGTCTCCATTTCCCTCTCCTCTCCCTCTTTCTACCCACTCACAATCATCTTCCCCCTCCCACCCTCTCTTCCTGTCTCCCTTCCCTCTCACCTTCCTCCTTCCCTCCCTCCCTCTCTCCCTTCCTCCCTCTCCCTCTCCCTCCCTCCTCCCCCCACCTTCTCTCCATCCCTCCTTCCCTCTTCACTCCTCCTTCTCTCTCCCCTCTCCTTTCCTCCCTCTCTTCTCCCTCCCTCCTTCACTCTCTCTCCTCCCTCCGTCCCTCATACCCACTTCTCCTCCCTCTCCCTCTCTTCCTCCCTCCCTCCCACCTTCTCTCCCCTCTCTCCTCCCACCCACCTTCTCCCTCTCCCTCTCTTCCCTCCCTCCTCTCCCTCCTCTCCCTCCCTCCCTCTCTCCTCCCTTCCCTCCTCCCACCCACCTTCTCTCCCTTCTCCCTCTCTTCCTCCTCCCCCCTTCTTCCCCCCCTCCCCTCTTCCGTCTCCTCCACCCACCTTCTCTCCCTCTCTTCCTCTTTCCCTCCCTCCGTCCCTCCACCCACCTTCTCTCCCTCTTTTCCTCCCTCCCTCCCTCCCCCTCCCTTCCTCCCTCCCTCCTCTCTCCCTCCCTCCCTCCGTCCGTCCCATACCCACCTTCTCTCCCCTCTCCCTCTCTTCCTCCCTCCCCCCCCCTCCTTCCCTCCCACCCTCCTTCCCTCCCACCTTCCTCCTCCCTCCCTCTCCCTCCCTCCCTCCATCACCTTAAGTGCCCCTCCTAATTAAGGGTGATTAACCGGGTTATCCTTCCAGGGAACTTAATTACAACAGGATCATCCATCTCGAGGAAGGATGCTTCTCCGGCCTAGAATCCCTTCGGACTCTGTAAGTAAAAGCGGCCGATGTCTGTTGCAAAAAATCATACGTACATGTGTGTGTGTTTTCCTTACCTACATCGGTGTATACGTACATACATGCGTATTTAGAGACTTGAGGCCGATGTCTGTTGCAAAAATCATACGTACATGTGTGTGTGTTTTCCTTACCTACATCGGTGTATACGTACATACATGCGTATTTAGATACTTGAGGCCGATGTCTGTTGCAAAAATCATACGGACATGTGTGTGTGTTTTTACCTACATTGGTGTATACGTACGTACATGAGGGGACTATATTTAGAGACATACGTAGGTGTGTACGTACATGCATGCGTACATGAGGGGACATATATTTAGAGACATACGTAGGTTGTACGTACATGCATGCGTACATGAGGGGATATATATTTAGAGACATGCGTAGGTGTATACGTACATACATGCGTACATGAGGGGATATATATTTAGAGACATACGTAGGTGTATACGTACATGCATGTGTACATGAGGACATACGTATTTAGAGACTTACATAGGTGTATACGTACATGCATGTGTACATGAGGACATATGTATGTAGAGACTTACATAGGTGTATGTACGTACTGCATGTGTACATGAGACATACGTATGTAGATACATACGTAGGTGTATACGTACATGCATGTGTACATGAGGACATACGTATTTAGATACTTACATAGGTGTATACGTACATGCATGTATACATGAGGACATATATGTTTAGATACATACATAAATGTATACACATATGTATGCGTACATGAGTACATATCTTTAGATACAAACATAGGTGTATAGATATATGCATGTGTACATGAGGACATACTTATTTAGATACCTACATACATAGGTGTATACATACATTCATGCGTACATGAGAACATACATATTTAGGTACTTAGGTGTATTACGGACGTGAATGCGTACATGAGGATATACATAATCAGATGAAGAAATAGATATGTACATATATGTATACTGCACGGTGTATCCTTACACACCTATATACATCGTGTATTCATCCATATATACATTATTACGTTCTTACATATATACATACTATACTTACATATTACATAGTACTTACATAATACACATACTATATATTACATACTACACTATATATACATACATACATATATACTTACATACTTACATATATACATACATACATATATACTTACATACTTACATATATACATACATACATATATATACCATATATTACTTACATACTTACATATATACATACATACATATATACTTACATACATTACAATATATAGACATATATACATACTTACATATACATACATACATATATACTTACATACTTACATATATACATACATACATATATACTTACATACTTACATATATACATACATATATATATACTTACATACATACATACATATATACTTATACTTACATACATACATACATATATACTTACATACTTACATACATACATACATACTACATACTACATATAGACATGTATACATATATACTTACATACTTACACATATATATGCATACATACATACATATATACTTACACACTTACATATATACATACATTTATACATTCATACATATTTACATACAAACATATAAACATACAAATATCTATACATACATTTTACATACATGTTTATGCATCATACGTACAAACATATATACACATGATCATACACATACTTTTACATACATTTATGCATACATGGTTATACATCATACATACAACACACATGCGTACACATAAACATACAAACATGCATACATATATACATACATAGATGCATTCAGTCACACTTACATTATATAAATATACTGTACATTTCTATTAGCTACGTTTTTTTCGCTTGCGTGTGTGTGTGTGTATGTGTGTGTGTGTGTTTGTGTGGTGTGTGTGTGTGTGCGTGTGTGTGTGTGTGGTGCGTGTGTGTGTTGTGTGTGTGTGTGCGTGGTGTGTGTATGTGTGTGTGTGTGTGTGTGTGTGTGTGTGTGTGTGTGTGTGTGTGTGGTGTGTGCGTGTGTGTGTGTGTGGTGTGTGTGTGTGTGTGTGTGTGTGTGTGTGTGTGTGTGTGTGTGTTGGTGTGTGTGTTGCGTGCGTGTGTGTGTGTGTGTGTGTGTGTGTGTGTGTGTTGTGTGTGGTGTGGTGTGTGTGTGTGTGTGTGTGTGTGCGTGTGTGCGTGTGTGTGTGTGTGTGTGTGTGTGCGTGTGTGTATGTGTGCGTGCGTGTGTGTGTGTGCGTGTGTGTGCGTGTGTGTGTGTGTGTGTGTGTGTGTGTTGTGTGTGTGTGTGTGCGTGTGTGTGTGTGTGTGTGTGTGTGTGTGTGTGTGTGTGCGTGTGTGTGTGTGTGTGTGTGTGTGTGTGCGTGCGCGCGTGTGTGTGTGTGTGTGTGTGTGTGTGTGTGTGTGTGTGTGTGTGTGTGTGCGTGTGTTGTGTGTGTGTTGTGTGTGCGTGTGTGTGTGTGTGTGGTGTGTGTGTGTGTGCTGTGTGTGTGTGTGTGTGTGTTGTGTGTGCGTGTGTGTGTGTGTGTGTGTGTGTGTGTGTGTGTGTGCGTGTGTGTGTGTGTGTGTGTGTGTGTGTGTGTGTGTGTGTGTGTGTGTGTGTGTCGTGTGTGTGTGTGTGTGTGTGTGTGTGTGTGTGCGTGTTGTGTGTGTGTGTGTGTGTGTGTGTGGTGTGTGTGCGTGTGTGTGTGTGTGTGTGTGCGTGTGTGTGTGTGTTGTGTGTGTGTGTTATGTGTGTGTGTGTGTGTGTGTGTGTGTGTGTGTGCGTGTGTGTGTTGTGTGTGTGTGTGTGTGTGTGTGTGTGTGTGTGTGTGTGTGTGTGTGTGTGTGTGTGTGTGTGTGTGTGCATTTTCTTGCTCCTAGATATGTGCATGTATGTACGTAAGTATTTGTGTGCGTAATTTTCTTTCTGTTTTACTGACATTTATCTATTCGTATTTATATATCTATATTTATTATTATATATATTATTATTTATTATTATATTATATTATATATATATTTATATATTATTATATTACTATATATTTATATTTATTATATATATTATTTATATTATATTATATTTATTATTTATATATATATTATTTATATTTATATTTATATATTTATATATTTATTATTTATATTTATATTTATATATTTATATATTTATATTTATATTTATACATAACCACATTTTTTTCCTTCTTTAAACATCTCAAATATCGACCAAAAAAAAATCCGCATAAGATGAATTTAAAAAATCTTAAAATCTAAAAATCATGGCACTGTCTTCCTTCCAACGCAGCATTTTGGACGGAAATCCTTTGACGACCATAGCGGGCGCCGTCCTTAGAGGGTTGCCAGCTCTCGCCTCACTGTGAGTTCATATTCTTTTCCATCAATAACATTGGGGAAAATTGTCATCATCGTAGGCCTATGTATATTTATTAAGGCTGGAAATATCATTACTAGCTTCGGTATTATATATTTTATCTAGCTCATTCTTGCTTTCGTGATCATTGCCATTAATGATAATAATAATAACAATAATGATAATGATGATGATGATAATAATAATAATAATCACATTCATTACTGTCACTATTTCAGTAATTTTGACAATCACTAAAGGTGCTGTCACGCTTGCATTTTTTTTCCTTTTTTTTGTCAATTTGAAAGAACACTCGACCAGTCACGAAGGGAGAGGGAAAGGGGGATGAGGGAGAGGGGAGAGGGGGATGAGTGGGAATGAGAGGGGGGATAGGGAGACGGGAGAGAGAGAGGGGAAGGGAGGAGGGGGAGAGGGAAGAGGGGATAAGAGGGGGGAGAGGTGAGAAAATGAGGAGAGGGGAGAGGGGAGGGGAGGGGATGAGTGGAGAAAGAGGAGAGGGAGATGAGGGAAAGAGGAGAGGGGAGGAGGGGAGAGGGATGGAAGGATTGAGCGAAACGACGGTATCAATTTTCCTTTTCAATTTTTCTTCGTGTCCCCGCATCTCTGACATCCCAGGCAACGAATCTGACAAATGCCATCGATGAGAAATTCCCCAGAAAGGCGTGTCCAGACTCGAGAATTGGCGCGATCCCTGATGACATCGAAACGGAGAGAAATGGCGCGCTCTGCTCTCGCGGATGTAAACAAACTTGCGACGAACACTTAAAACAAATTTTGTGAATTTCAGCAAATGATAAATTTCCTATTTACTAATCTGTTGTTTTATTGTTTATGTATTGGCTTTATTTTCATATTTTTCTAGGGCATTAATTTCATTTTATCATACGTAGAAACATTCTCGAATATAGATTTTGATTTGACTATGCTTGGCTGGAAAAGTTGACGGAGAGATTTTCAAACAGAAATGATCATTATCGTCTGGCCGGAAATTGACAATTAGCTAAAAAATTGTCAGTATTTCAGAAAACTGTAAAAAAATTTGACGGTAAAAGTGCTAGTGTGACAGCACCTTCATACCAACACCGCCATCGTTATTGGCATTATTATAATCATTGTTCTTGTATTTTATATTAGAGATCCCTTCTTTCGCCCGCCTTTCAGACACCTACAGGAAATGGAGCTCAGTGAAAACTTGCTGCTCAACCTCTCTCTCCACGGCTCTTCGTTCTTGACCTCGCCCGAACCCAGTGACCCCGACCTGACCTGGCCCAATATAACACACCTGTGAGTGGAACCGTGATGACGAAGGATCCCGTTTTCTTTACGGGAAGGTTTTCCGTTTGGTCTCCGTTTTCTTTGCAAAATTAAGAGGATAATGATGTTCTTTACATACAAACACACAATTTGTATATGTGTATGTATGTATCCAACACACACGCACACACACCACACACAACACACACACACACACACACACACACACACACACACACACACACACACACACACACACACACACACACACACACACACACACACACACACACACACACACACACACACCCACAGACCACACACACGCACACACCCACAGACACACATACACACACACACACACACACGCACACGCACACACACACACACACACACGCACACACACACGCACACCACACACACACACACACACACACACACACACACACACACACATACACACACACACCACACACACAACACACGCACAACGCACGCACTCACACACACACACACACACACACACACACCACACACCACAGCACACACACATTCACACACACACACACACACACACACACAACGCACGCACACACACATTAACAGCAGACAAAACACAACACACACACACACACACACACACACACCACCACACACAACACACACACACACACACACACACACACACACACACACCACATCACACACACGATAGATATAGCACACATGAATGCATCAAACTAGATACATTAAAACACTGATAATACCTCAATCAACATACCACATAACCCAAAGTATACCTCATTCCACAGGTATTTCAAAAGGTTTCGCTACTGCAGTTACCTCCCCTGGATACCAGACTGCCGGCCGAAGACAGATGGTGAGTAGTGTTATTGATGTTATTGTGTTATTGCATTTATTGTGTTATTGATGTTATTGCATATATTGTGTTATTGATGTTATTGCATTTATTGTGTTATTGATGTTTATTGCATTTATTTTTGTTATTGCATTTATTGTGTTATTGATGTTATTGCATTTATTGTGTTATATTGATGTTTTGCATTTATTGTGTTATTGATGTTATTGCATTCTTTGTGATTCTGTTGTTATCATTACCATCGTTATTATCA